AAAGCTGGCCCCCTGTCAGTGGTGCACCTGGCACCACAGAGAAGCCTCTGCAGGTGGTAGAGGAGACCCCGGAAAAGCTGAGTGCCCAGGTGGCCAAGGAGGCCATGGGCTAGGGGTTTCCTACAGCTTTGCGAGACGTGATGGAGACTGCGCTTCCCGATGTGGCGAAGTTACAAGAACTCCGAGAGGGAGAGGAAGCCTTGGAGGCTGGGGTCCGTGCCCTAGAGGAGGACCTCAGGACCACGGAATTGCGGGGGTCCCCTTCCCAAATCATAGTGAATGATTCGGAGGTTGGGAAGGAGGAACCAAGTCCTGTGAAGGCCTGCCCAGCGGTGGTGCAGAAAAAGAAACACAGCCGCCTAGGGCGCCTGGAGGGAGGCCGGCGGGCCCCGCCCAGACGATCGGCCAAACTACACGCAGGCCCTACGCCGAGGCCGAACTAGTCGTCTGAGAGAGCAGTCCCGGCAAACGGCCAGGGAGCCCTGGGCAGCGTGGCTCCTCCGCCCTTGGGATTTAGGGGTGAACGGTATTATGTGCACCCATCAAGAGATGGAAAACCTAGCTTCCACCACAACTCACCCCTTCCTGCGCCGCCTGCCGCAAAATAGCCAGCGGCACAGAAGGGGGCAGGGCTCTCCTTGTCTGTTAGAAAGGGCCGTGGCTGCCATTCCCACGGTCTGGAAGGACGGAGGAGACCCGCCGGACACTGTGAATAAGCAGCAATCCTATGGGAGGTGGGCATGCATGCGCCAGGACAAGTTGAATCCCCACACTCAGGGCCCCAGTAATGAATGCTTTGCGGCAGGGAGGAGGGATCTAGAGCTGCAACACGCCCCCTCCGCTCCTTCTGGATCCCTCAAGACTATTTTGGCCCCAACCGTCGTGGGGCGCTGTGTTAATGACGTCACCACGATGGTGGCAGGACTGGGAGGGGCGGAGAGCCAGCAGCAGCAGAAAGGAGTTTGGACGGTGTCTCGAGAGCCCTCTGTCTCTCAGACAAAAATCCACACCATGCGGGTGACCAGGACCCAGCTGTGGTCAGATCTTTTGGGGGGGGGCTCAAATAAATCAAAATATAGCTGATGGAGAGCCAAACGCTTACCTATTAGAGCTGTGGAAACAGCTGCGTGCTGACCCCAGAAAGAGAAGGAGGCGAAGGGGAAACCTGGGGGTGTGCCCCTGGAGGCCCATCCTGTGCGTCTCCAAGACCATATGGCTGTACCAGCCTCCTGAGAAAAAGAAGGAAAGATCCTTTGGCCATTTGAATAGGGGGAGGGCTGAGGGACCCGTCTACAGGGAACAGGTGGGATCAGAAGCTGCGTGTGGAATTGGCGATCCACAGGCGCCCTACAAATGTCCAGCGGGTCCCGGTTCTAGTAGATGCAGGGGCAGAATGTAGTCTCCTGTATGGAAACCCTGACAAGTTTCCGGGGCTTGCGGCCCATTGATGGTTACGGGGCAGCGTGGGAGTGAAGGCCAGGCGGCTCCCTCCGAGTACTGAGCGATTGTGCCCCCCCCATGAATATACTGTGTATGTGTCCCCTATTCCTGAGTATACGGTGGGCACCGATGTGCTCTGAGGACTGCGGCTGCACACCCCTGCGGGGGAGTTCCGCTTGCGCGTGTGAGGAGTGAAAGCTACTGTGCGGGGCTGAGCTGAGCATCTCCCTGCCCCGCCAGTGGCTGCCAGCGGGAGGGGCGGAAGCCTGGAAGCAGCACCGGCTGCCCCGAGGGCAGGAGGCAGTTACGGCGGCTATGGGAGAGCCGGAAAACGGGGATAGTTAGTAGGGCCGCCCACAGTCCCTTCAACTCTCCCGTGTGGCCAGTGGGCAGAAGGGCGAGCTGTGTGGCTCGTGGTGGCGACTGAAGCCCTGCCCGTGACTTATTTGCACAGATAGTTGGGCAGTGTACTGGGGACTAACATTCTGGATTTCTACATGGCATGCAAATAAATGGATGGCCATGCATAGGGCTTTGTGGAGACAGGCCTTGTGGCAAGACCTAGGGGAACTGGGCCACCAGAGACAAACCACTGTATATCATGTGACCGGGCATGCGCCCCTTGCTTACCCCAGGAATGTCGAGACTCACATGCTAGCCAAGGTGCAATGGCTGGAAACGGTGCCCACTGGCCCGTCAGGAAACAGAGGTCGCCCAGTGCCTACAGCGTCGCCTCTTACATGCTGGACAGAAGACCATGGGGTTTACTATAAAAACTTGGGGGTTACCTGCCACCTCAGCAGACGTACAGGAAGCTTCTGAGACCTGTGTTGTCTGCTCGTGAGAGCATCCCCAGAGGCCTGTGGGAACCGCCGGGCAGGTGATGCGGGGACAAGTACCGCTGACCCAATGACAGGTTGACGTGATCGGACCCCTGCCTAGTTCAAAGGGGCGTAAGTATACAATCCCGTGTGAGGATACGGCCACTGGACTGTTGGCTGCGTACCCGGCACGGCACCCTGGTCAGGAAGCTGTAGTCGCTGGGCCAGAGCACATACGCGCGGCCGATGGGCGACCCTGGATGGTTGCAGGGGATCGTGAAACGCGCTTTACAGGGGCCTTGGTGCAACAATGGGCCCGAGACCTGCAGACTGACTGGCGGTTCCATGTGGCCTATCACCCCTAAGCTGTTGCCGGGATGATGCAACAGTCCAATGGCCTATGAAAGCAGGGCCTGCGAGCCATGGCTGCCACCCCTGCGCTGGGGGTTGGATGGAACACTTGGGGACCGTCCTCCAGATGCTAAACAAAAGAAGTAGGAGGGAAGACCCAGCTGTGGTAGAAGCCTTCCTCCACCGGACACCCGCTCGAATTCAGCTCCAAGTACAGACTAAGGATGCTTTGCTGAAACCAGGCCTGGGAAAACAGGGAAATATTCTACGGCCTGCACCCAAGGGCCTGGAGAGAGGGCAAACGGCCACCTGAACGCGGCCTGGGGAAACAAAAGCCCCCCACATGTGTTAGGTGGCCCTTGTTGCCCCTTGGGGACAAGGGGTGAAGAGAAACTTGCAAATAGTGCCCCGGGTAGTTGGGACGTGGCCTCCAGTATTGCGGGCGATATACCCGGGACGAGCAGACCATGAAATGCTTCTCCATGGCTCCTTCGTAGCATCCTCATGGCCCGTTTTAAGTTCTCCACTCTTGTCGCAAGTAGGTGCTGAATCCCCTGTCGAGGCGTGAAGGGTTTGGTATTCGTGCCCAGGAAGGCCCCCTCTGCCAGCCACTGTCTTAATCAGCTGACCAGAAACTTGCCTGTAATCCTCCTGAAGGTCGTGATCTGCCATCGTTAGTTCCAATAACTGCTTTGTCTTTTCGCCCCTAGGGTACAAACTAACACCCTAGTGGACTGGGTATATACCTGTGCCTCAGTGGCTGACCCCGCATGCTGGCTCTGCACTGAGATCCCCCGGAGCACGTCAGCCGGCCTCCCATGGTGCATCTCTCCGGCTTCTTCTCAAAGTGGACTTGGCTACAGCACCAGCGGGACGGTGCACATCCCTTAGGGAGCGCGACCTGAACCAACATCTCCGCTGGGGCAGAGCAGTGGCATGACCGGCCCCAGCTGGTAGTTGGCTCCTCCACATGGGATGACTTGGGGTGGCTCACGGCTGAGGCCGTGGAGTTGGCTGGACCAGCAACGACAAGCCCAAGTGGGCTGGACTCCGACAAGCCTGCGTCAGAAGCGTATTCCTAAGCACAGCTGGGAGGCGCAGACAACGCGTGAGCCGCAGTACCCACGGGGGCCCTCCGGGTGTGTGGCTCACATGAGTGGCCCTACTTGCCCGGAAGTTAGACTGGCCGTTGTACCTGGGGGGGGGGGGGAGCTTATCTGCCTGCCCGAGTTCAGAAAACTCTTACGTGCTAGTCAGTCAACTGGGATACAACTTAAATGCTACTGGGAACATTTAAGGTGTGGCACCGGGCAGAGCGTACCCCCCGATACTGTTGCCCAGTAGCCGTTTTTTCTCCTCAAGCTGCTTCTGTAGTCACTGAGATAACTGCCTTAGCTCTGCACACTGCTCGTGCGTTGAATGAAACACGGAATTCCTTAAACCTCTTCAATGAGGAAATGTATCAATAAAGACAAATAGCCTAACAAAATCTTGTGGCTTTAGCCACGCTCACTGCATCACAAGGCGGGCTATGTGCCCTGGCTGGGGCCGAACCCTGTGTGTACATTCCAGATGTCCGTCACAATACTCGCCAATCTCTACGGGCCTTAGTTCCTGAGAGCCATGTTATTGAACGTCTGACAGGTGACCTCCTGCTGGAATGGTGGGCATCCTAACTACTGAATGGTGGTGGGTCCTTGCTGTCTTGGGCGGCAGTGCTCCTGTTTTGGTTGCGTGCTGTTGCAGCTTGTACTGCTGTTGCAGCATCTGAGTGCAAGGCTCTGCCCTTCTCACCTACGGGCCCTCGCAGAAGACACCCTCACGTAAACTGTGCAGTAAAAAATGCTGAAGGGGTGGAATGTAGGGACAATGGAGTCAGCCAGGCTCCCTCACCCGGATTTCCAGGCCAACGTGCCTTAGCAGTGTTCATGTAACCTTATGTTGAGGCCTGCATGCGCAGAATCAAGGTCTGTTATACAACTAGAAGTCATATTGGTACCCCACTGGCTTTGGACTGGCTTTGGGTGCACTTAGTATATAAGGAAGTCGGGGCTTTCCATGATGCAACTCGTGGCATGTGGCGCACGTGAATCGCCCCACCCCAGAATAAAAGCATATCAAACATCCCATCGGCTCCACATATTTTCTTCCAGCTGCCTGAAACCCCCCGTGAACCGGCCTTGCCTCAAACGCTTGCAGGACAGCAGGCCTCCGTGGTGTCTGCCTGCTCTGTGCAGAAGGGGGTCAGGCTCCATCTCTGAGGTTCCTCTTCGTTGAACAGGGAGGCCTAGGGCTCCTTCTCAGCTTCTGTGGGGCTGACGCCCCACAGCCCCCACCCCCCTTCCTTCTTTCTCCTTTTACCTACAGGAACCCAGACGCCCTCCAGAGATGCTGTGGCTGCTGCCGCCCCTGCTGTGGGGAGGTGAGTGCCCAAGGGGAGGGCGTGTGGGCTGGGGCGGAGGCCCCGGCTGACCCCCCTTTCCCCGCAGGGGTCCTGGCTCAGGATCCGGGATTCCAGCTGCACGTTCAGGAGTCTGTGACGGTGCAGGCGGGCCTGTGTTCTCCGTGCCCTGCACCTTCTCCTACCCTCCAGGTGGCTGGACAGACGCTACCCCAGCTCATGGCTGCTGGTTCCGGGAGGGGGCCAGGCCAGGCCAGGATGACCCAGTGGCCACAAACAGCCCCGATCGTAAAGTGCAACAGGAGACTCAGGGCCGATTCCACCTCCTCGGGGATCCCCAGACCGACAACTGCTCGCTGCACATCAGAGACGCACAGAGAACAGACACAGGGACATACTTCTTCAGGGTGGAGCGAGGGTCCCATGTGAGATACAATTATACATATAACCGGCTCTCTGTACTTGTGACAGGTAAGAAATGGGGTCAAGGCGAGGACACAGAGCTGAGTCCTGAGGGCTCCTGGGCTGGTTCTTCTCCTCCCGGGATGGACTTGGGGACCGATGGGGACTGCAGCCAGGGGCTGGCCTGGCACACAGGCTGCAGTCAGGGGCACACGCGGGGACCCCACCTCCAGGGCCTGGGTCTCTGTCTCTCTTCTCCAGCTCTGGCATCGACACCTGACATCCACATCCAGGGGACCCTGGAATCCGGCCGCCCCAGCAACGTTACCTGTACAGTGTCATGGGCCTGTGAGACAGACACAACACCCGTTTTCTTCTGGAGCGGAGTCGAGGTCACCCGCCTGGGCTTCGGGACTGCCAGCTGCTCCGTGGTCACCCTCACACCGCGGCCCCAGGACCACGGCATGAACCTCACCTGTCGGGTGGCCTTGCAAGGCGGCCTGATCAAGGAGAGGACTGTCCAGCTCAACGTGTCCTGTGAGTGCCCGGCCAGGACACAGGGGCCCTGAGGGTGCAGGGGGTCGGGGACGTGCGGCCTGGGTGGAGGACGCTGGACACTGCTCTCGAGGCCCGGCCGGGGTGAGGGTGGAGAGGACACCCAGACCCACCACCTCGCTCCTGACCCGCCCAGCACACCGCACGTGGCCGGCGACTTCTTTCGCCTTTACACGCTTCACGGACTCCGACGATCCGCGTGTTCCGGGGAAACAGCACAGGTGGGAGAGGCCCGGGGCGGGACTGAGGTCCGAGGGCACAGGAAGCACATGAAGCCCCATCACCCTCGTCCCTGCCCTAGTCCCCCCTCTGCCCTCTCCCCGCCCTGCTTCCTGCCAGGTCTCTCTAGGCTTCCTGCGAATTTCTCGTTGGCCTTTTACTGTCGCCTCTGGTGGCTCCCTCACCCCGGACGGACGGCCTCTCTCGCTCACTCCCCCGTGACTCCGCTCCCCGACTCCTTGCCTCCCCGCGGCCCTGCCTCCTCTCTCTCCTCCAGGGAGACGAGTCTACCGCTGGCCGCCTGGTTACCAGCCCCTTTCGTCCCGACCCCGGGAGATCCTCCGCACCCCGGTGCTCCCGTCCTGCCCCTTCCCTGAGGACCCTTACAGAGCCCTGGGCTGTCCAGGTCACCCCGAGAGCCCTCTGCGCCCCCTGGGAGGGCCCTTCCTGCCTCAGGGACCTGACTCGATGTCCAGGAAGCCACTGCAGGCCTCCCCGTGTTTGCCCAACACGGTCCAGGACTCACTGAGTTCTGCACACGTGCCGTCCTGCAAAGGTCTCTCATTTCGAACTTCCTCCATCCCCAGGGGCGAAGCCTCCCCTCGGGCCTCCTTCTTCGTGGTCAGCCTGACGTGGCAGAGACCTGTACCTGGGTCGGCCCCCTCTGCGGCCTGCAGATGCCAGGTTCTCCTCCCTCAGTCGGCCACAGTCTGGCCCCAGTATCATCTCTACATCCCCCACATGGGACCCTACTCGTACCCTGCTCAGAACTGGCCGCAGCGCCCCCGCCCTCGGGGCAGCGGCTGAGAGCGCGCCTGTGTGTGAGCCTCCCGGGGCAGACCTACGAGCCACCTCTGCGCAGCGTCCCCATCAAGGCCCCCCCCCCCAGGGCTCTCCCCCAGGCGCACACAGGACCAGCTGGTCCTCGAATGCCCCCGCCAGGTCTGGGAGCAGCAGCTGGCCTCCCCTTCCCCGACCTTGCCTCGCGGCTCTCCGCCCCCACTGGCCCTTGCTGGCAGCGCTTGTCTCAGAGACACCTTTGCCCACTCCCGTGTCTGGGGGTGGACAGAGGGGAGAAGGGCCCTCAGCCCTGCCCTCTGTCCCTCTCTCTGCCTCCTCAGTCCCAGAGGTCCTGGGCAACGCCACCTCCCTGCGGGTCCAGGAGGGCCAGTCCCTGCGCTTGGTCTGCGAGACGGAGGGCAACCCCCCAGGGAGGCCAAGCTGGTCCCGGGGGAGCCTGACCGTGAGCCCCTCCAAGCCCTTGGATCCGGTGGTCCTGGAGCTGCCCCAGGTGGTCGCGGCGGATGCAGGGCAATTCACCTGCCGCGCTGAGCACCCGCGGCCCTCCTACCACCTCTCCGTGAACCTAGTTGTGCAGGGTGAGTATCAGCAGGACACCTGTGGTCTGAGGTGGGCACTTGGGGTGCATTCATCAGGACTGACTTCAGGGAACTCACACCTCTGCCCCTCCCCCGCCCTCTTCCAGCTGTTTCCTGTACCTCCCACCAGGCCTGTGTGGAGCAGCAGGGCTCCTGGCCCCTGGTCCTCACCCTGATCAGAGGGGCCCTCATGGGGGCTGGCTTCCTCCTCACCTACGGCCTCACCTGGCTCTGCTACACCAGGTGAGCAGGTTTCTCAGCGTGTCCTGGATTGGGGGACACCGTTGTGGCTTCACACATCTTGTTCCCTGCAGGGCAAACCCTCCACAGAACTGCTGTGTCATTTCCCCCACAGGTTTAGGGGCCCCTCCGTGAGGAAGGCCGCAAGGAGAGACTGAGCCCCGTCCCCGAGGAGGTGCTGGGCTCCTGGCTCCAGAGCCCTGGCCGGTGGAGGCGGGTCTGTCCCACCACGGCAGGCTGGCACCCACTCGGAACAGCTCTGTGTCCCGCTCAGAAATGACCCTTCACCTGTGGTTCCTGCAGCTCTTCCTTGGGAGTTCAATTTCAGTGGATGGAGGGCAAGCGGGGAGCTGGAGAAGGAAGTTGGTATTCACTTGAATTATACTTCCTGGCGTATTTTGCTTCTGCGTTCTTGCCTTCATGTAGCTCTGAGAAGCCCACAATAGATCGATAGAAATCCCAGAATGTATTACTTTTAAGCCGTTGTAGAGTGATTTTTAATTAAGAAAAGCATCTGTTTTGTATTTATGTATATATTAACCAGTTCAAGGACTTCGATTTCTTTGTGGGCATTGAAGTTTCTCCAGAGTGTTAGTTTCCCTGTTTCCAGCTGTATTGCTAATGCCAATAGCAGTGTATATGTTTCTGGGGCACAGCGTGGTGGTCTTATTTGCATGCCGTGTGGAGGGGTTACCACAGTAAGTCCAGATAACATCCATCTTCTCATACAGATGCAATACAAACTAAGCAAAGGAATAAGGGAAAAAAGGTTTCCCTCTGTGATGAGAACTCAACACGTGTCCCCTGTGGAGTCCAGCAGTGTCAGCTGGGTTCTCACGTTGTACGTCCCACCCAGGTCCTTCTTTAGGTTCTAACTGGAAGTCTCTATCTTGTGACCATGTTCCTCCGTTTTCACCGCCTTTCTGTTTTTACCTTGAATGTGAAGGTCTTCCTGTACATTTCTTGTAATGCGGACATGCTGGTGATAAATTCTCCCGGCCGATCTTTGTCTGAAAAGGTTTTGTTCCCACGAGCTTTGAAAAGACATTTTTCTTCGATGAGAAATTCTAGGGAAACATTTTTTTTTCTTTCAGTTCTTCAAGTTTTGGGGGCTTCTATAGTCTTTTTTCACGGGAATTCTGCTGTAGTTATGTTCTTGTGTCTGTGTGCTATTCGTCTTTCTCTGGGTGGTGGTAATGTTTTCTGACCGTCATTGGCTTTAAAGGATGTGATTAGTAATTGCCCTCGTGTGTTCTTGGCATGTGTATTTGTGTTAAAGAGAAGGAGAGACAGATATTATCCTGGTGAAATTTGTTTCGTATCTCGAACGTGTCAATTTATCGCTGTGACCACATTTGTGAAAACGGAAGCCAATGTTTATTTAATAAGTATATAGATTTGTTCTTTCTCTCTCTTCGTCTCTGGTCTCACAATTTACATATTTACATGATCTGACGCTGTCTCCTAGGGCCTTGAGCATCTTCACCCTCTCTTCCCTCTATATTCTTGAGTTATAACCTTACCTATCACTACACCTTCAAGTTGATTGATTATTCTGCAATGTGGGATCTGCTGTTATTCTCCTTCAGCGACATTTGCATTTCTGGTCATGAGTCCTCTTCTCTGGGAGTGGCAGTTCTTTAGTTTTTAATCTCATTATATCTTCTCTTATTAAAGGAATGTTTTCTTTTAGATCCTTGACTCTATGGGACATACGTGCAACAAGTCTTTTAATGTCTTTGTTTGCCGGGCCCATCTCCTCTGTCCTGTCTGAGCGTCAGGTACCGGATGGTTGTCCCCTGTGAAGTGTCCCACGTTCGTGCTTTTTTATATGTCCTGTAACTTTTCACAAAGGGGCGGGCATTGGCACTTTCATGTGGCTGACTGCTTGATTTTGTATTTCTTTGAAGAATATTGATCCTTCCTCTTGAAAGCTGTCAGGTGACTTGCATGTTGGGCCAATGGTGTTAAGGCTCTTAATTATTAGCCTCTTTTCTAAGGCAGATCTAACGTAGCCTTTATTTTAGCATTAATGGTCTTCCGATTGCATGCCATGGCCCTTTTGGAGATTTGACTAAATGCCCATAAAGTAAAAGCGGTATCTTCCCTCCGGCTGGAAGGAATGTGCACAACCAAGCACTTCGTGATCTCCGGGAATTTTGCATGTCACAGCTGTCTGGTGATTGTTCTCTCCTTAGAAATCGTTCTTGTTGGGCCTCATGGGGTTTGCACACGCCAAGTGCTGTTTTGCCAATAACTCAACTCTGCAATGCTGTTTCCTGTCTGAAAATCGGATGTGCACACTTTAGCCAAGACAGTCCTTTTAAAGTCCGGTGTCTGGCTCATCAAATCAGTAAACATTTAGTCCATTTGCGAGTGTGTGTGCGCGTGCGCACGCTCGCACCATTGCAAACTCCATGCTGGCAGAAAACACGGGTGATTAGAAGTCTCTTCATGTGTGTTGTCTTCTCTCAAGGATCCTGCATATTCCCTGTTTGTGCCTCTTGTATAAAAATATATATTTCCTATATTTTGCTCACTATTGTCATTGTTTACAAAAGAATGATAATTCCAGATGCTGTTATTTTCCCATGCTCAGAAGCAGAATTCCCCAGCAAGAACTTGACAAAAATTTTAATTATGGAATATCTTACATAGCATAATATTAATTCATTGTAAGTAAAAGTTCAATGATATTTTTAGTGAATTTATAGAATTGTGTGACCGCTGTCACACATTTGATTAGCTACAAAGAACTTTGAGTTTCTCTGCAAATAATACCTGCTCCTTCCCCATCTTTAAAAAATCATTGTCTGCTTTCAATCTCTAAGTACCTTTTTTTAATCAGCATTTCATATACATGCAATCCTACCACATCTCTTTGTCTGATAATTTCCTGTTTTAGAAGTTCAGCCACACTGGAGTACGTGTGCATAATATTTTAAATGATTAAACTTTATTGTATTGATTTAAAATAATTCCCTTTTGTTCTCAGTGATTACATATTATTCCCCTGCAGGGCTACACACCACGTTTGCTTATCCATTCGGCAGCTGACGGACATTCGGATCGTCCCCAGCAGCGGCTTTAAGAATAGTACTGCTGGTTCCACTGTGAACTGTTTACGTGAGGTGCTCCGTGGACTCAGTGTTCACTCAAAGAAGCCTAACGGTTGAAAATTTGGTCTTTAAGCAACCATTTCTGTCCTCTGAAAATGGGTCTCAGAGCAAACATCAGAAGATGAAACATGGACTCAAGAACAGTCACTGAACCTTGGCAGGGACACAGAGGTCGGTGGCACTGGAAGTGGCATCTGCACCCTGCTGCCCCCATTCCAGCTCGGCATCCTGGGAGCCGCAGGCCAGGTGAGTGGTGCCAAGAACACAGGGCTCCACCCTCCCATCCCCAGTGGAGGGCGATGGCATCTTCCCAGGAGGGGCAGAGGCCAGCGCCGCTGCTCGTCCCTGCCAGGTCTGCCCCGAAGAGGGACAGCGCAGGTGGGGGCAGCTGAGACCCCGGGGGCGCGGTCCTGCAGGGCGCCGCCTGGCACCCGGGCCGAGGCTCTCCCTCAAGCATGGCGGGCTGGTCGTGCTGGGGTGAGTGGAAGGGCAGGCTGGGCAGTGTTTTCTAGGGTGACACACATGCTCCACGTCTTGCTCGGGGCTTCAGTTAGAGAAATAAATGCCAGTCCCCCTAAGCGACCCCCGGGGGCCAGTCTTAGTCCATGCCAGCTGCCACAACAAAGAGTTATCGGCCGAGTGCCTTTTAGACAATGGAAAGTTATTATTCACAGCCCTTTTAAAAACTGTTTTAAATATGTTTATTGATTTTAGACAGAGAGCAAGGGAAAGGCACACAGAGAGAAACGTCAAAGCGAGAGACTGTGTTCGGTTGCCTCTCATAAGGGCCCCAACCGGGGATCAAAGCCGCAACCTACGTAGGGGCCCGGAATGGGTGGCGAACCTCCAACCTTTCGGTGACCCTCCAACCAGCGGAGCCACCCGGCCGGGGCTCACTAACAGTTCCGAAGCTGAAAAGCCCAAATCAAGGCACTGGAAGATTAGGTGCTTGACAAGGATCCACTTCCGGGTCCATAAGCAACCTCTCCCCAACGTGCCCTTTCCTTGAGGAGGGGTGGGGGTGCCCCTTGGGGTCCTTAAATAGGGGCGCTCATTTCATCACGAGAGCTCGACCTCCTGACCTGACCACACTGGGGTTAGAGCTTCCCCATGGGGATGGGGGGGGACGCACCCCGGAGTCCATAGCAGCGCCCGGAGCTGGAGTTGGCCCACGAGCAGCCGTCATTCACGTCATCCCAGACCGCGGTGTATGGTCACTTTGTGGCTTAGACCATGTTCTTGTCTGTGTCTGTGCGGAGACGTGACCGGAGTGGTCCGGTCCCACCGCAGTCCCCGGGGCCTGGCCGGGCGTGACATCCCGTGAGTGCCCATGGCTGCCTCGGCCTTGCTAGAGGGCGATTTTCAAAGGCAATGGAGTGAAAAGATAGGAGACCGGAGAAGTCTGCAGGGAGCAGATCCCAGACGGCCTGAGGCTGCAACGAAAAGAAATGGTATTAGGTTTTGTAAAAAGAGTACTTCCCACTGAGTGCGGACACCATGACTAGGCAACAGTTATAACTGATGGCAAAGTACTGAGCTTGCAAATTTTTTCCTTTAGTGGAAATTAGAGAATCGGGTTATCCGACTGTAGTTCTGCCTCACGGTGCGCTGTCTTGATTTGAGAGACAAGGGTGAAGGCCCAGCTAAGAGTTCCTGACGGTCACATGCCCCCAAAGTACGCAGAGCAAAGATAGCACCCAAACACCTCCCCCCCCACGTACCACAGACTGTGCCTCCCCCCAAACCACGTGTTGAAACCTAACCAGCTGGGGTCTTGGGGAGGGGATTAGGGCATGAGGGTGAAGCCCCCAAGAATGGTCCCCTCTTAGGAGACCCCACAGAGCTCCCTGGCCCCCTCCTCCATGCCAGGACACAGTGAGAGGACCATGCCTACCATCCAGGCAGTGCGCCCTCACAGACGCCAGGCCTGCGGGCGCCTTCCTCTGGGACTTCCACCCCCAGGACAGCGAGAAGCGAGTATTTGGTCTTTAAACCGCCGGGTCCGGTGTTCTGGGAGCGCAGCCCGCCGGGACTCAGACACCCCAGCGGCCCGTTTTCTGACGTGCACATCCCGTGGTGAGGGCGTGTGGGTGCGTGTCGTTGCCGAACGAGGCTGTGGGAGTGGGACGACATGGACGTGTTGTCTTTTGGAGGAGGCGGGTCTGCAGGGGGCCATGCGGCGCTGGCGGTGACAGCCTTGGCTCTGCAGGCTCCCCCCCGCAGAGCTCCGTGGAGGGAGGTGCGGTGCAAGGGGCGCCGTCATTGCCTGCAGGAGCCGCGAGCACGAATGCAGCCTTTCGGGAGGAGCAGCATTTGCAAACGCCGCCCCGGGGGCCTGGGAGGATTCCCTGAGCAGCTGCGCTGCACCAGGACAAGGAGTCCCCACATCCTGCAGCCTGGGGCTCCCCAGGGCTCAGCCGGGCTTGTGGGCGGAGCGCCCCCTGGGGGCAGCACAGGAAGTCCCGGCCGGAACTGGGACAGGAAGATGCACCTTCACACAGAGCATGTGCATGGTGTCCCCACCTCGACTAAGGTGGCAGCTCTAGGTGACACGGAAGCCAGACCGGCGTGCTTCCCAAGAGAACAGGTGACTGTGTACGTGCAATGCTGCTGGGGGGGCGGCAGCCACTTCCACCCAGACCAGAAATTGTGGGTTTTAGGTGTTTGCGGTTTGGGTGACTTTGGCAGGACGATGATGTGGGGACGGAGCAAGGCTGCACGGGGCTGGGCAGGGTGGCCGGTCCATAAAGAAGGTGTCATTCTCGAAGAACTTTGCCTGTGAAGAGAGGAAAAGAGAACCCTCAGGGCTGCTGGGAAAGGTGGGCGTCGGGGGAGAAGCTGCTGGTCTCAGGACCACCTCTGGGAGCTTCTTAGCAGCTGCCTCCCGAAGGGGGAGGGCCAGTCCACAGGTGGCGAAACTGAAGGGTCCCTGGACCCCTCCCTCGTTCCACTTGTCCCTGCTAATGTGGCCCTGCCCCTAGAGCTGCCCAGCTGCCCGTGCCTCGCCCTGGAGGCCTCCAGAGCGCCTCGCCTGCGGGGTCAGCCCTGAGCTTCCAAGGCGGATCTAGCCCCAGGGGGCCCTGCACCCCAAGGTGGGGTTCTGAGGCATTGGGTCAGCCTGGGGAAGCCGGGGAGCCACGGATCAGCACCGTTGGGCTCCAGGGCGGCTGAGGGTCTTCTCCCCCTTCTCCAGCTGAAGGGGGCAGCATCAGAGGGTCGTGTGCAGAAGCCACCTGCGAGGGAGAGGAGCCCCCTCCTGGCTCTCAGCTCCCCCACGGTATTCCCTCCCTCCCTCCCGCCCCTTCCGTTAGGCGCCTCCCCTGTGAGCACCCCTGGGGGAAGGGACCCAGCTCTCCCCCAAAAAGCCCCGTTGGGCAGCGGGGACCTGGGGACCAGAGTGGAGAGGAAAGTGGATGCTTTGAACCGATGTGCCCCACGTCCAGCGGACGTGTTCCAGTCCTCACATCCCGTACCTCAAAGTGGGCCTCTTGAGAGAATGGGCTTTTCAGGAAGTAATTCAGTTAAAATAAGGTCGGAGGGTGACCCCAGGGCCACAGGACTGGTGGCCTTATGAGAAGAAGTGATTAGGACACCAACACTCACACAGGGACAAGCCTGTGAGGACACGGAAGAAGACAGCCATCTGCCGACCAAGGAGAGAGGCCTCGGAGAAAGCCACCGTGGGGACCCCCTGACCTGGAACTCCCGACCCCCTTCCGGAACTGTAACGATATACATTTCTGTTGTTTAAGTCCCCCAATCGGTGGCTGTGACACCAGGACAGGAACACCTCGGTGTCACCTGCTCCGGGCCACCTGTCCTGACTTCACCAGGAAGAAGTAACGCCCACCTCCCCCGGACCCCCATGAACATCTCCTCAGCTTGCGGGGGCCGGGGAGAGGGAGGACATTTCTGAGCCCTCCAGTGCTTCTCATTTCTGCGTGGCTTCAGTTCCCGTCGGGATCAGACACTGTGTCTGACTCACCTGCGCGTCCCCTGTGTGCAGCCCAGCACCTGCCAGACACGTGGTCTCGGGGCATGAGGTGGCGTGGATGAGCACAGCATCTGCACGTGACCACGACAGAGTCACTTTAAGAGCCAGGCCTGGTCAGGGGACAACACGTGGGGACGTTTATCCCTCTCGCCGCACGCCCCCCAGGCCCGTTACGGCGCCTGCACTTGCCACCGCAGGCCTCACCGCTGGCTGCAGGTGCTCTTATCCCAACGGGTGTCGCACGTGATTGTGTCACACAGTCGTGTGCCAGAAGAAGGGAGGGGACGAGCGGTGGGCTCAGGCCTTGGGGTGGGTGCTCCCCGGGGACGCGGCTCCGTGAACGCGCCGTGGAGGATGATGGCGCGGCACCAAGACCGGCCTGCTGTTGCCGGATGCAGCAAAGGAAAACCCCAGGCGCCCAGGTAAATCTGAATGGCAGGTATAAACACCGTATCATGTTCATGTACGTATGTCCTGCGCAGTATCGGGGGTCTACTTACACTAAAACAATGATTCCTCGTTTATCTGAAAGCGAGATTTACTGGGCATCCCGCACCATATGTGACGTGAGGAGAGCCCTGCTCCCCACCCCACACCCAGAAACCCAGTCTCCGCTGCCCCCTCATCTGGCACGAGGGGCCCCAGTAAGAAGGGTTCACCATGAACTTTCACTTCTGCTTCTGCAATAACCCAGGGCCCGGAGGGACAGCGCCACCTTCCACCCACCCACAGCCAGGCCCCGGGGCTGGACAGCGGCCTCCCACTCCCTGCTGCAGAGGTGGCCCAGGGAGGGCCAGCTCAGCGAGCCCAACGCCAGGCAGGGCCCCAGGAAAGGCAGGGGGTCCAAGTGGGCGAGGTGGGCTGGGGAGTGGGGAGAAAGGGAGATTCCACGGGCCTCAGATGAGGAGCTCATTTCATGCATCAGTCGCCCGGGCTCAGCTTCCGCCCGCCAGCCTGCCCCGGCTTCCTCTTCTGTCCCTGCTCAGTGCCAGTCGCAGCGTCAGGGAATGAGCCTGTCCCAGGGCAGGTCCAAGGATCGCCTGGGCCGAGATGCTCCCAACGGCGCTGCTCCTCGCCGTGCTGTGGGGCGGTGAGTGGGCCGACGGCAGGCAAAGGGGGCGCGCAGAATTGCAGGCCCAGGACCGTGGATTCTCGCTCTCGGTACAGAAGGTGGTGACCGTACCGGAGGGCCTGTGTGTGTTTGTGCCCTGCTCCTTCTCCTACCCCAGGGAAGGCTGGACTGAGGAAACCCCAGCCTACGGCTACTGGTTCATTGACGGAACAGAGACAATCCACGGTTTTCCGGTGGCCACAACCCGCTTGGATCGAGATGTGGAAAGAAGGACCAGGAACCGATTCCACCTCGTGGGCAAGGCCCAGGAATATAACTGCTCCTTGCTGATCACGGAGACACAGAGGGAAGACAGTAGACGGTACCACTTTCGGGTCGAGAGAGGCAATTCTGTGAAATATAATTTTGTGAAAAATACGTTCTATCTGAATGTGACAGGTATGGTGCTGGCTGGAATGGGATGGGACCTCCCTCCCCCACCACCCCCTGGACGGGCTGTGGGGAGTGGACCATGGGTCACCCTCTGGTACCCCATCGGGGGCTACAAGTGTGTCCTCTCTCATCCCAGCCAGGACACAAGAGCCAGCTGTGTACATCCCAGAGATGCTGGAGCCTGGGAAGCAGGCGACAGCCATCTGTGTGTTTGACTTGGACTTTGAGCCGTGTCGAGCCCCTACTTTTTCCTGGACGGGGGCTGCCCTCTCCTCCCACAAAATCAGCCGGACAACTGCCCACGTCTCAGTGCTCAGCCTCACGCCGGGACCGCAGGACCACGACAGCAGCCTCACCTGTCGCGTGGACTTCCCCCGGAGCGTGAACTTCCCCAGCGCACCCGTGAGCTTGGAAAACAGTGTCCGGCTTAATGTGGCCTGTGAGTGCGGTGGGGACATCGGGGTGGCCAACAGGCCCAGCAGGTGGGGAGGTAGGGTAGTGTCTGGCTTGGGGTGGCTCTGGGTGGCTCTTGGGGGGAGGGGTCCATGGAGAGAAAGGAGGGGTTCCTGAGATGGGAGGGGTAGCGCATGCCATCTGGTCCTGCACCCACAAGCATGTCTTACGGCTCCTTTGTCCCTTGTCTTCCCTGAGGACAGTCATCCTTTCTGTTCCCAGAGTGGGTTCTCTCTGGCTGTGGGAAACCAAACTTGCCTCCCCAATGCCAGCTCCCAATCTTGTTGCAGGCGCCCCCGAAGTCCCAGTTATCAGCATTTCTCACACCAACGGATCAGGTACGAGGGTCTGCGTGAGGGGCGGGACGCGGCTTGTCCAGTCCTCTCTGGGCGATGAAAAGACGTCGGGAGCGTGGGGGAAATGTGTTCTCGCCCTCTCTCGCTCTCTCTGTCTCTCTCCCCCGCTCGCTCCCTCTCTGCAGCCCTGGAGCTCGTGAATGACAGCCCACGTCTGGACGTCCAGAAAGGCCAGTTCCTGCGGCTGCTCTGTGAGGCCCACAGCAGGCCCCCGGCCACTCTGAGCTGGGCCCTGGAGGACAGAGTCCTCTCTTGGTCCCGCCCCCCGGGCTCCGGGCGCCTGGAGCTGGTCCTGCCTGGGGTGAAGCCTGACGATGCGGGGCGCTACACCTGCCGGGCCGAGAACAGGCTCGGCTCCCAGAGCCGCGCCCTGAACCTCTCTGTGCAGTGTGAGTGTGACCGGCAGGGCCTGGTTTCCAGGAGGCGAGGGGCTGAGGGCCAGGCCTGGGGGCAGGGTCCCAGAGCGCCCAGGAACCTGGGACCCGGGCATATGGGACGATGGCTGAGATTGCAAGTCTGATGCAGCTAATTGCCTCCCCAACGCCAAACAGTTCTCTGACATCCACTGAGTGCCCTATAGTTCCACGCACTTCCGACCCTGTGAACCCAGAGATACGCGTCGCACAGGTTACGGGCTCAGACCTGCAAGGCTTCCCCACTTTGGGCGCCAATAGCAAGTCTAGGCTGTCACCTGTGCTTCTGGCTAAAGAACAGGAGCTGTGGGTGGGAGGTCCCCACGACCCCCTCCTCAGGTTGGAGGGACTTGCTAGACAGAGCAGCTCCCAGGACTGAGAGGAACACTTGCCTTACTGGATCACAAGTTTGTTAGGAGAGGACATGACTCAGGAACAGCCCGATTGCAGAGACACGTGGGGCCAGGCGCAGGAAGGGCCCGGAACAGCCACACGCTCCCCAGGCGCCTCTGTCCCCACATCTCCCCGTGTTCAGGGACCCTGAATGGTTTCTGGATCGGAGCCCTGGCCTTTTGGATTTTTATGGAGGCTCATCCCATAGGTGTGACTGATGACCTCCTTGGCCATTGGTGATTGAACTCAGCCTGCAGCCTGACCCCATTTGGGAGGTCAAGGGGTGGGGCTGAGCAGCCCAGCCCTGCAGTGGCAGGACTGGTTTCCCTGGCGACCAGCCCCCCATCCTCAGGTGCTTTCCGGATGTCACCTCAGGAACCCGAACTCAGCTGTAGTGGCAAAGGGCTTGTGATGAGTCTGGAGATGCCTTTATCGCTCTCATCACTTAGAAACTCCAAGGCTTTCGGGAGCTCTGTGCCCGGAGTGGGCGGGGACCAAGACCCCAATATAGGTCTCTTACTATAAATCACACTGTCACAAGGGCCTGCCCTTCCCACCCACCTATTTCCTAGGGCGGTCTGTGTCCCCGGTGACTCACTGAGTGGCCATGCGATCCCCCTGCCCGCCTGCCAGTCTCATTTGTCCCCAGGGACCCGCCTGCAGCTGGCGCTCTGTCTCTGTTTCAGATGCCCCTGTGAACCTGACAGTGGTGGTCTCTGGAGCAGAAAGGGCAGGTAGGAGAAGGGGACAGAGGGACCAGGTCTCCTCAGTGCAAACTCGGGGCCTGGGCGTCTGCAATGTGCGCCATGCGCCCGGGGCCCGCGCCCTGAGCTCTGCGTTTGCCCTGCCTCTTCCCTCTCCCAGTCCTGGAAAACCTCAGGAACGGCTCGTCCCTCCCCGTCCTGGAGGGCGAAGGCCTGCGTCTGCTCTGTGTCGCCCACAGCAACCCCGCAGCCCAGCTGAGCTGGGCCCGGCGGGGAGATATTCTGCGCCCCTCCCAGCCTTCCGACCCGGGGCTCCTGGAGCTGCCTCGGATCCACCTGGAGCATGAAGGCGAATTCAGCTGCCGAGCTTCGAACCTGCTGGGCTCCCTTCAGGTCTCCCTGCGCCTCTCCGTGCGCTGTGAGTGGAAGGACGGTGGCACCTAGGGGCAGGTCACCAGGGTCCTGGGCGGGCAGCGGCACCGCTGACCCTTCCCCTCGCTCCCCACAGACCCCCCACGGCTGCTGGGACCCTTCTGCTCCTGGGAGGACCAGGGTCTGCGCTGCAGCTGCTCCTCCCGAGCCCAGCCGGCCCCCTCGCTGCGCTGGCGGCTGGGGGAGGGGCTGCTGGCGGGGAACCACAGCAACGCCTCCCACGCGGTCACCTCCCGCTCCGCGGGGCCCTGGGCCAACGGCTCCCTGAGCCTCCGCGCGGGGCTCGGCGCCGGCCTCCGGCTCAGCTGCGAGGCGGAGAACGTCCACGGGGCGCACAGCGGAGTCCTGCTGCTGCCAGGTCAGGGGCCTGCTGGGGACCCCCTGGAAGCGGAGCCTGAGTGGGACGGGGCGAGAGGAACCTGTGGTTGGAGCAGGGCGTGGGGAGGGGCCTCCTGCACCTCTGGCTGGGCGTTCAGAGGGGAAAACAAAACCTGGGCGTGGGGCACAGCGGGGTTTTAAAGAGAGAGACTTAAAGGCGTTGCTGGTAATACGTCTGGAAAGGGAGCTGGAAGCCCGAGTGCCTGGGGGCTGGTGGGCGAGGAGACCCGCGTGGATGAGAGAGGCTCAGAAAGGTTTCCTCCTGCAGAAAAGGGAGGATTCCTCTCCAAAGGATTCTCCAGCGGAGTCACTCTGGGCACGGGCGTCACCCTCCTTCTCATCCTCTGCCTCATCGTGGTCTAGTGAGTTAGGAGCAGGAGCGAGGGGTTCTGGGGACGGGCGACAGGGGAGGCGGCTCCAGGGCACACACCGAGGCGGGTCGTTTCCTCAGCGTGAAGGTTCTCAGGAGGAAACAGATCCCGGCAGACACTCCGGCCCAAGCAGAGACCCGGAGGCCCAGGGTTACCAGGAGGAGCACCATCCTGGATTACATCAACGTGGTCCCGGCCCCCGGCCGCCTGGTGAGTGGCCCAGGCCTGCCGCCCCTTCCTCGCCCTGCCCCCACCCTCTGCCCGCGGGACGTTGAAGGGGCACAAGCAGTGTTGCTGGATCCAAATCCGGACTCGGGCCCCGCGTATCTAGGAGACCTTGACCAAAACCGCTCGCTCCCTCTGAGCTCCCATTTCTCCCTCCGTTTTCTTTGAGAGGTGGTTTGAGGAGCAAAACGCATGCCCTTGCTCGATGTGTAGCAGTTAATGATGCAACCGTTATTATTAACACCGCTGAGAGGCAGTGGCTCCTGGTCATTAACAGCAGGGCTGCCTGGGTTCATACCTCCTTCCTCGCTGTGTGGTCTTGGGCAAGTCACTTAACTTCTCTGAGCCTTTTCTCAAACTTTAAAATGGGGGAAAAGAATACCACCTACCACCTAGGACCATTCCGGGTATTCACTAGGCTCCTATTGTACCCTTTATACATTTAGAATAGTACCTGGCACTTATTGTTTGGAGAAAGGGTGACAGTTTCAGGAGAAAACATCTAGATGCTGATGACTGTGAAATTCACGTCTCCCAGGCTCATCCTTGACCCTAGACTCACCCCCTGAACTCTAGGCTCTCACCCAACTGTCTCATTCAAAGTCAAACTTGTAATTACACCACTTCCCCCCCCCCCCATCACAGCAAAGAGCACGTTTCCCCAGCTGCTCAAGCCTCACGCCTCAGAGTCATCTTTCACACAGCTCTTCTCTATCACTCTGCAGCCAACCCGCCAGCAAATCCCCTTCAAAGCACATTCGAACCATTCCTCCCCCTCCCCCTTGTCCTCACACCCGTCTCACCTGGACGCCACCTCCACCTTCTGTGGGTCTTCTCTGCTCCCCATGCCCCCGATCTCTTTCTCTGTACATCGTATCCGTTTACAACCCAAACAGACCCATCCACCCCCTTGAATACACTCAAAAGGAAGGAACAAAGGATTGATACTTGCAACTGGTTAAACAGCGCTTAGGGACAAAAGTTTCCTTAAAAAGCCGAACTCTAATGGTCCCGTGTACATGATTGCACGTGTATCGTTCTCTTACAATGATAACACTGTACAGCTGGAGAACAGATCGGTACCTGCCCCGCGGTGAGTGCCAGGTCTCTGGGATCAGCGCCATTGTGCATCTCGATGGCGGTTACAGGCATCTACCTGGGTTAGTTTGCTAGGGCGGCCACATTAATGAGACACAGACAGCCCTGGCCGGGAGCATCATCCCATACACAAAAAGTTGCGGGTTCGATCCTTGGTCAGGGCACATATGGCAGCCAACCGATTGATCTCTCTCTCTCTCTCTCTCTCATCAATAAAAGCATATCCTTGGGTGAGGATTAAAAAAAAAAAAGCAGAGACTTCACGTCCTGGGGTAACCCCAGTTCCTCCATCAGTGCCTGCCGTGTGGTAGGCACTCAAGTATTTGTTGCATGAATGAACGAACGAATGAATGATGGTCGTTTTCCCCCTCAGGCTCGGAACCGAAGGAACAAACCCAGCAGTCCCTCCAGGACCCCTCCTGCAGATGCTAAATCCCCAGGGCCCAAATCGTCCCTGCCAGCCCCAGAATCAGGGAACTACCCAGAGGAGATCCATTACGCTGCTCTCAGCTTCTCAGGCCTCAGGGCACAGAAGACCCAGGAGTCCAGGGACATCGGCTCGGAATATGCCGAAATCAGGTTCCACTGACGGCCCACTGGGCTGTGGCACGGGACTGCGGACTCGGACTCGGGGCAAGGCAGGCGCGGGAGGGGGCGAGGGGAAGGGGGCAGAGTCTCTCTCTCTCTTCCTCTCTCTCTCTCTGTCTTTTTTAACTCCTCCCAGGATGGGTCATCCCACCCCAGACCCAGCATTTGCCACCGCTTGACAGCTGTCTCCAGAGTGACCTTCTCTGGATACACTGGCCTGAGGACCAACATCAGCTTTTCATGGGACAAGCCCAGGCACCACTCTACCAAATCATTCAGTGTCACTTTTCTACAAGGTGGGAGAACCTTCAGAAATGGTTCAACATACCACCTGAGAGCCTACGATGTTCTTCACATTTTAAATGACTGGGGGACGGGGGGGGGGGGGAGCGGGCGGCCCTGGCTGGTGTGGCTCAGTGGATTGAGCGCCAGCCTGCTAACCAAAGGGTCGTCGGTTCGATTCCCAGTCGGGGCACATGCCTGCCTGGGTTGCGAGCCAGGTCGCCGGTTGGAGGCTTGCGAGAGGCAACCAGTCAATGTATCTCTCACACTTTGATGTTTCTCTCTCTCTCTCTCTCTTCCTCCCTCCCTTCCCATCGCTCTAAAAAATAAATAAATAAAATCTTTAAAAAAAAACAAAAACCAATAAGTAAGTACATACGTACATAAATGGTTGGGAGGGAATCAAGAGAAGAAGAAAGTTTCGTGATACATAAAAATATGAAATTCAAACGTCGGTGTGTCCATTGATAAAGTGTCATTGGAGCCCCGCCATGCCCACTCGTTTGTGTACGGTCCTCTGTGGGCGATTTCACGCGGAGTTGAGCTGTCAACCTGCAAAGCCTGAGTAAGATATTTGGCATCTGGTCCTTTACAGGAAAAGTTTGCAGATCTTAAACTCACCCACTTACTTTTACAGAAGGGGAAATGGAAGCAGAGGTTTAGAAAGAGGTCAAGAGGCCCCAGGGCCATCGTGACCAACTGTGGGCCTGGGTGGAAAGTTTCCAGGGTGAGGACATGCAGGGCAGGGAGACAATGTGGAGGCTGGGGGTACACGTGTTGCGGAGCTGAGAACCTCGGGAAGAGCACCAACCCGCTGGTGAAGAGAGAGGAAGAGGAGTCTGCTTCTCACTGCAAAGCATGCCCCTTCCCTCCATCCTTTCCTGAGGTCATAGCTGAGATTGTTTCATGGACAGTCTTCTTGGGGGGTTGGTTTTTAGTCAGGCAGAAAACTGGGAAGCCCAGATAAGATGCTCGCCTTTGCATTTAAAAAAAAAAAAAGTGCTGTTACACATTGAAAGGCAGGAAGAGCTGGAAAAAGTACAAATGAAACAGAAGAGGTTGTAAGTACAGCTGAGGAAAATACGGGTTCAAGCAGGTCAAACAAGGTTTTCTCAGCTTTCACGCTGTGCTTAAGTGGCAGTGGCATAATAAGAAGAAAAGGAAGGAAGGAAGTTCATGTATTTTTTCTTTTTTTTAAAAAAAAGTTTGTTGTTCAGTTACAGCTATCCCCATTTTTCTGCATTTCTCTCCCCTGTCTTTCCCACGCCCCCTCCCCGCCTCCCACATTCAGTCCCTGCCCCCGCCCCTTTGTCTTTGTCTGCGGGTCCTTTGTACATGTTCCTTGAAGACCCTTCTCCTTCTTTCCCTGTTTTCTCCCTTCCCCCTCCCTTCTGGTCGCTGTCAGTTTGTTCTTTATTTCCTTGTCTCCGGTTCTATTTCGCTCGCTTGTTTGTTTTGTTGGTTAGGTTCCACTTATAAGTGAGATCATATGGTATTTGTCTTTCACCGCCTGGCAAGGAAATTTGTATTTTAAGTACCTCCCACGTATCACGTTGAGTCGATTATTTATAGTTACATCCTCCGACAATGACTGTGCTGTACGATAAAGAGTATGTCCACTGCGAAGATACCTGAGACTCCGAGAGGTGAATTAATTTATCTGAAGCCACGCAGGATAGATTAGCCGGCTGACTCTAAAACCACAGCTTCCCCTCCCCCTCCCCTGCTTCCCAATCCCGCCTGACGGGGGCGCTCTTGAGTGACAAGGACTCAGAACAACAGGCCGGAACCCCAGCAGGACGCTCAGCTTGGCTCTGGGGACAAACTAAGACAAAAGCTGCATCTCTGACCTACCTGGTAGTCAGCAGGGTCAAAATGGAAGGGCGTTAGAGGGGTGGGCTGAAAGGTCGAAGAGATTAAGAAGTACAAATTGTCAGCTATAAAAGCGGTCACAAGGATGTGAAGTACAGCGCAGGAAATATAGTCAATAATAATTGTAATCACTGTGTATGTGCCAGGTAGGTACTAGACTTATCAGGGGGATCACTTTGTAAGGTATATAAGTGTCTAATCACTACGTTGTATGTTTGAAATGAATATAATATTGTACATTAGCTGTCATTGAAAAATACATTTTAAAAAGGAGGCTATTTAATCGGAACAATGGACATCTTTGTAAAATCCAGTCAATATTTTGCATGGTCTTTTCTTTCATGTCCTTTAAAACATTTTTCTCTCTATAATGCTTTATACTCTTCCGCGTAGAAGCCATACATATCTTTATTAGATTTCTCTTGAGGTACTGGATTTTTTTTTGGTTCTATTAATGGCGTATTTCTTTCCATGTCACTTTTTGGTTGATTCCAATCTATAGAAATACACTTGATCAAGGAGCATGTATAAAGGACCCACGGACAAAGCCAAAGTGGGGAAGGGTTGAGGGGGGGAGGGGGGGTGGGGGGGGCAGGGGCAAGCAGTGGTGGAGAGATGGGGACAAATGGATCGGAACAATTAAAATTTTTTTTAAAAAAATAGAAAAAAGAAATACACTTGAATTTTGCATGTTAACCTTACGTCTATCAACCTTGGAAAGTTTGCCTATGTTGAATAATTCATCTGCAAATTATTTTGAATGTTCTATGTAAAAAAAAAAAAATGATATCGCCAGTTAATCAACATGTCATTGTTTTCTCCAAAAGGGAAAATAAGTAAGTAGACAAATAGATAACTATTTAAAAGATGCTGAAGAACCAGATGAGGTTTAGAAGGGAAGGCATGTAATTTCAAAAGGTCACAGCTTAGCGTGAGAGGAAAAAGCTGTGGGTGGACAGGCTAATGCTTTCCGAGCACAAGCAGGGGTGTGTGGCAGACGTCCCGAGTCACAGTGTCCAGAGCGAGAGAGTAAGAGAGGATGTTCAGAGATAATACTCGCTGGAGCTAAACCCTCTCAAGCTCTGCAGCTATTTACTTGTGAAGATGTTTATAACACTGACTAACAAATACTGAGCACTTGCCCCGGGCACTGTTCTTTAGTGTGTATGTCACCACACCTCATTCTCACAGAAAGTTAAGGACAGTTTTGGCCAAAGACCACCTGGCCAAGCCCTAATTCACTAGGAGCCTTGACGGGGCAGTTGCTGGGTAACAGATGATATGGTGAGAAGGCCCTCATTGCTTTCCGATGTGCCAGCGCCTCTGGCTAATGACTCAAATTAAAAGCCGAATGAGCTGCAAGGACGGAAGTGGGCCCCCAGAAGCCGGGACACACTCAGTAATGGAATCAGATTCATGAGTGGGGTCGCCCAGTGCACCCACCTCCTTTCATTGATGGGCCTTGGAGAGGGACAGGGTCTGGCCTAAGGTCACACTGCAGAATAGCAGAAGTGAAATCCAAACCTTGAAAGGTCCTAAAATAGATGAGCGCTGAAGGTCCCAAATTCTTTCTCATAAACTTAGAGTTGGGGGATGCTAGGGGAGCCTCTGTTTCCCTCCCTCCAGCCCCCACGCTCCCCCGAATCCTTCCAGGAGAGCAAGCTTTTGAGTTTGTCTGATCTGGGAGATAGCTAGATTACAAGGTTGTGTTGCTAGGGCAACAGGTTTGACTACAGGGGTCAGTGACTTTGAAATGTAAATGTGTGTTAAGGCCCTGACTTCCACAGGAATGATCTGGGACTTGGAGGGAAGGAGGGGTGCTGATAGTCAGTCCTCTCAGGGAAAGGCAATGTTGTGTAGGTGAAACAAACCAGGTTCGGCCTGAGACCTGACTCCTTGGCCGAGACAGGGAGGCCAGTGGGCCCTGCCACGCCTTTTCTTCATTCCCACGTCAAGCCCTGGTTTCCCAAAGTATTGGAGCTCAGAGGGTGCTTGCCAAGAGGTTACTGGAGTGAAAGCGAGCTTAGGGGTCAGATTTGTGAACTGAGGTCTGTGCTGGAATGAGCCCCCTTGGTTTATGTGGCTACCAGGGATGGTTTCATCACTTCAAACTGAAGATTTGCTAGAATCATCCGCTAAAGTGGAAGTGGGAGTCTGGAGGCCCAAGGGCCCCCAAAAGGGAGATCCCATAGACACTTTCACTTGCCTTAGCTCATTTAAATTCTCAAAAAGTGAACAATGTGTTTTTATTCATGTTACTTATCTTTTTAAAATTATTTTTGCTATTACAGACATCCCATTTTTGCCCCCTTCGCCCCCTCCCCCCAGCCCAGCCCCACTTCCATAGTCAATCCCCACACCGTTGCCCCTGCCCGTGGGTCCTTCATGTGTGTCCTTTGCCTAATCTCTTCAAACATTCATTCTTTTTGGTGTACAGTTCCGAGTTTTGACAAATGTAGAAAGCCATACAGCCATCACCACAAACAAGATACAGACTATTCTGGTCGTTTCCCCAAATTCTCTTGTCCTGTCCCTTTGTTATAATAACCTTTAAAAAAAAAAAAAAAAAGCAACCCAGCATCTTTCTGGAGGGCAATTTAGCCTTATCTAGCAATACTGAAAAGGCATAGCCCCTTAGATCTGGGAATACTATTGTCAAGGGGGCGCCTGTGAATAGATTATTTACCTTGAATTTTAGGGATCAATGAGAAATGGCTCAGAGCAGTTCCTCATAGCACATCGGCACACACGAAAGCCAGCCAGGACTAAACCTGTCATTGTGGCTTCTTTGTCTTCCACACACTGCATTCCAGTGCCAATGGTGATTGATGATGATGATATAGGAAAAGAGTAATAATGCCTATTTTTGAAGCTATACAAGACATTAGACTCTATTCCAAGTGCTTTTATCTAACTCGGTCTTC